GCGGGTCGACTCTAGAGGACCCACATATATATATATATATATATATAATTACACATGTATTTTTTTTAACTTTTAAATACAGAAACTTTAATACAGCTACAGGCATAGGAACTTTCATGGCACATGATCTGATATCCGTACCAGGCATACAGATTGGTCGATAAGGATATTTCGAATATCGCATTTTTTTGCGTTCAGTTGTGCTGATATACATTCGAGTTCGACCGTTGACGACTTCACGCACTAAACAATCTACCACCTCACCGACTGAACAGTCTGCGATATTCACGGACAGTGAATAACCACCAGTATACAAGATTTTTGTAGCGCTTTGTAGTGGACAATCTACATTTCCAAAAGTGAAAGGAAAACGAAGAGAATCCGCTGCATAAAATATTACATATATGTCAGCTATCAGATCGAATGTGTGATCTCGAACGCGGCTGTTTAACGCTACCACTACAGTTGTCTTCTTACATTGTCAAACGAGTGTGCTGTCTTTCTCCTACATGAAGAAATAGAGGGATGACTATCTTTCTTTTTTTTCAGGTCAGTAGTTTGTCAATAAAGTTGTCTGTAGTCTGTAAATCTATGAAGGCTACGCTAAATAGGAGTTGGAATGGGAGTGCATAACAAATAGAAAATAAAACCCTCTGTCGTGATAACCTTCTACTTGATATGTAAAAGTGTAAATAGTATGTAAAATATATACATATTACTACAAATTACAAAGTACAGACTGTAGACTGTACAGTGTACAGTAAACCTCTAAACGAAGTATACTCTCTACATACAATCTATTCACACTCTACAGTCTACAACTTAAATACAGTCTATTTACACTCTCTAGTCTCTACAGTCCATATTTTCAGGTCTCATAGTCTATCACGGATTCACGGATTCACTTTAATAATCAGCTTCACTGTGACTCACAGTATCACCCTACGTCACATCGAAAAAGACCGCCGAAATATTTCAGTTCTAATGGTAGCCGTCCCTTCAGCCCCTGGGCGAAGGTCCACCGTCCGTTGTGCACTGTGCCGGCCCTGGGGTCTTTTACCTGCAGGCGGCCTGAGGGCGGTGACCCTAAGCCCTGAGGCTACAGGCTGTAGTGGCCGTACATCAGTCAGCCGCCTAGAGCTGGGTGACTAAATCTCAATCCGTTTTATTTTTTGACAAAAATTGGAAATTAAGTCTCGACCTAAATATTATGCGAATTATTAGGACACCCTCGTACCAATTCTGAAAACTCCGAACCTCAGTGGCTCAGTTCTCCGAACATGCACCCACGGGCCATCACAGCCTATAGGCCACACTGCCACAAGGATAGCGATAGAACCATAACGACATAAACGTTCAACGTGTATATTTAAAAGTTTATCTGTTTTAACGCAACATGTATTGCGGCTCGGCTAATGGGCTGGGTCGTTAGAGAAAGTGGGATGCGGGAATAGGAAAGTGGGATGCGGGAATAGGAAAGTGGGATGCGGGAATAGGTCAGGTGGGCCTATGTATTCATTCTCTACTAGATCTGTTGGGAACATCAAAGTCAAACTTGTGTGTGCTTTGTGTGAGGATATTTTAGCAATGCGAAAGTTGAAATAGCAATATAATAATACACATGGAGACTTTGCTACACACCGTTTACAAGTATACAGGTGGAAATAGCCGGCTGTAACGACGGCTGTAACGACGGCTGTAACGACGGCTGTAACGACGGCTGTAACGACGGCTGTAACACCTCTACGTTATTCAATTATAAATACCTTCGCCGAGCTCGAACCATAGCATAACAGCACCTATTTCAACCTTTCGATTCTTTTGAATAAATCAGTGCCAAAGTCAAGATCCCTCTTCGACTTCGCAGCACTTCATATAATGTTCAACTGGATTTTGAAAAAATTTACAAACTACAGTGAAAGACCTCAACGCGACTCACAGAACCACATGAGGATCCGCAGAAGAAGCAAGTAAGTATGAAGTCTAGTGCTCTGTGGCTCTTCGTGACACAAATGCAGACCAAATACTTTACACAGTGTTTCAAACGTTTATAATCCTATTGTGGTGAATGCACAGATAGGCCGGATAAAGAAACAACAAAGCTAGTATAT